CATAATATAAATGATAATTGGCTTGATGACTTGTGTTTAATGAGCTCTATCCGTATAGTAATTTTTTTTCCTCATTCTGCAGCTAAACCTGCATCTCACCTTAATTTTCTTGGAAATAAAGTCAAAATATTACATAATTTGAACTTTTTTTTTAACTTAATGTCATTTTGTCTTTATTTCAATATCATATATATTATAATATAAGAAAATACAAAGACGAATGGAAAATTTGGGAGAAATGCTTTATTAAAAATTTCCTATTAAAAATTTCCTTGATGAGAAGAATTTGATAAATTTATATAGTGCTGGTACTTTATAAAGTTTTGCATGTACCGATTGTCAAGTTCCTGTACTTTGATTTAGGTCATTCCTCCTAATAAGATTTTCAATGAAAGATTCTTTCCCAATTTTTTCAAGAAAGAAAGAAAGAACGGTTATAATATTATTATCTTCTGTTTTAAATATAAGAATTAGTTAGAGATTTAATTTAGTTTTAAATATAACATCCAATCAGTTTTAAATATAACATCCAATCCGCTTCAACTTTTATATTTATTTATTTATTTCTAAAATAGTTCTCATTATGATTATGCATGCTAAAGTGTTTTTATTTTAACGCATATGATTAGATATTAATTATCTAACTTTTATATTAAGAATCAAAGATAATATTTTTTTAAATGGTTAATTAATACTATCTTTAATTTTAATTCTAAAGTTTTGCTTTATTTTGATTTTGATTTCTAGAATTTGATTTCATTTTGATCCATTTAAAGATTTTTTATCCATCTAACAATGTTTTTGTTCCTCAAACAAAATTGGAAAAATCGCAAAAGAAGACAGTGGGATTAGAAAAATTATAAATTAAGACTCATGACAACATTAGTATGGATTTTGGTAATAATATAGGTTTTGACAACAATTGTTGTGAACCGATCCCTATACATAATTTTTCTAATTTCATGGTCTTTTTTTGTGATTTTCCCAATAAAATTTTAAGAACCAACATTATTAATTTCAAATTTCAAGAGCTAAAATTAAGATAAGGTGAAATTTTGAGAAATACAAATAATGCTAACGTTGTTTTAAAGTGTACATTAATAGTATAATGCAGAAACAGTCAACGTGTACGCATGTCTGATAGTGACAGAGATTAACAACAGATGCATGTAAGAAGGCCGAAGGGAAAAAGGCAAACAGGAAGAGCGTGTGGGGGCATGAAATGATGGTGACAAACAAATTAATGAACGCGCTTTTAATTGAATAACAAGAGCCCCACCTACCTTGCTAGTCAAAAAGTCAAAACGAGTTTCCCACATATTAATTGCCAGCACGCTATTATTTTTTATGCCATTAACTCATTTCTTCCGTGTGTGTGTGTATATATATATATATATATAGATAAAAGTTTATTTACTTTTTATTTTAATTCTAAATATAAAATCATAATTTACATTATCTGTCATATTTATTTTTTTAGGTAGTCTTTGTAATAATAATAGTTTTATCCAATACATTTGATTAACAATGATATTTTAGAAAAGATAATACCTATTTATCACAAATAACTAACTTAATTAATTTTCTTAATCTACTCAAGTTAGTCAACTATCTCTTATATTAAAAACCAAAAGTAATATATTATATACATTACCTCTGATGTTTAATATAAAAACTATTTAACTAATAGGAATTGATTAAAAAAATTTGTTAAATTAGTTATTTGTAATAAATAAGTGTTGTATTCCTTATACTACTCTTACTAATTATGTATATTAGCTATAACCACTATTTAATGGAATCTTTTAACATGTACAACTACTACAAGAGTACAAAAATTACTTTGAAAAATATGATTAAATATGAGAGATAAAATAAATTAAAATCTTATATTTAAAATTAAATTAAAAATCAAACTAATTTGTAGAGCTGGGAATCAGGGCCGGCCCTTCAGGGCTGGCGGGCTTAAAAGGGCCGGCCCTCCAAGGCTGAAATTTTAAAAATACCCCAATTTGTTAGGCCCGGTCTTTAAGCTACAGGGCCAGGGCCGGCCCGCGGGCTTTTGGCCCGTTTAAGAAAAAATACTATTTTTTATATTTATCATATTTTTTTTATAAAAATATAAAATAAACCAATGAAATTATTAATAAAAGACATAAAAATGAATAAAATTAAGTCACAAATATAAAATATTATCATATATAAATATTTATCAACATCTAAGAACATCTAAAACATTCATTAACAAGATAACAACATCTAAAAGTTTTATCTATAATGCAATTGTGCAATAAATAAACACTATCATTAATCTTTTGAAACTTCATCATCACTATAATTAATTATTTTTCTTCATAAGTATGCTTTTTTTTCGTAACAAAAATATCAAGTTTTTCTTCTTTATAAGAATTTTATTTTTAAATTTTGCAATCTAACTATTATTTTACTTTAATGTGAGAAACATTGTTGTTGAAACTCATGAATTTCTAATTCAAATTATAGAATCACAAGTTATATAAGTATAAAAATATTCTATTATCAAATATATATATAGTTTAAAAATATCAACGCATATAATATAAATCAAATCATTATTAAAGTCCAAATTAACCCATTTTTTAAATATTTAATTGGATAAATTATTGTCTAAAACTAAATTTAATTTTAAAATGATAATAATAACTAAATATTTGAAATATTATTAATAATGTAAAAAATTAATAACATTAATATTATATAAAAAATTTAAAAAATAAAAAAATTATAAAAGGGCCGGCCCGCGGCCCTCCAAGGCCGGCCCTTTTAAGCCCTCGGCCCTCCAGGGCTTATTTCTCATTTTAAGAAAAAAATATCAAGCCCGGCCTTCATAATTTCAGGATCTAAAAGGACTGGCCTGACGGGCTTGACCCGTTTTCCCGGCTCTACTAATTCGTATATTAAACGTAATAGGTAGTATATTCACTATGCTTTTCGCAAAATCTCACACTTCTAGTACTCATTAAAAAAGTGTTTGGTTCTTTTAATAGATTAAAGAAAGTGTTCAATGTTCGTTGGACTTCAAGCAGCCAGACGAACCGACATTACTCATTTACACCAATTTCACTTTTATGTTTTGACCGGATATATTTTTTTTTTGGGGCCAACTTTCACTGGATATATTTGGCAATTGGCTTATGAATACCCCCATAAAAATGATATTTAACTATCTATAGTTCATGAAATATTATCGGTTAAAAGCCTAAAATTAAACATATTTTTAACAATTATGAATATATATTTTTTATGTTATTTAGAATTATTAATTATATATATTCAAAAAAAGAATTATTATTTTTATATATAAACCCATAGCATCTTTAGCTAATTTAAAAGGGTTATACTTCTTAATGAAAATATTGCTGTAAATTAAAATATGATGCTGCCACATTAGAGTTTTAAATTTCATGAATAACATTATGAAATAGAGTACCGATCACAACTCACAGTATTTTTATAATTTGCCAGAGATTAAAAACAAAATATTTAGTTATACGATTGTTATATTTCAAAATGCTTGCATAATAGTAAGTTGGCTCATAGTTAAATCATGTCGTAGATACTTTTTTCAATTCAATTGGCATTTTGTAAATTTTAGGTATATTATATATCTAATATTCAATATTAGTCGCTAGCCGCCTCTAGGGTTAAAATGAGTTATGTTATTTTTTTTTAAAAAAAAGGAGAAATTGCATTAAAATATTTAGTGGACTTGACTGCTTGATTGACAATTTCAGTAGTTGACTGACTAGGTTCCTGCCAGCTTCCTTGAAAGCAATGAAGCTTCACAATTTGGGCCCCCCTCTTTATTGCATCATGCATACTTAGACGGTATAATGCTGAATTCTTTTGGAAAATCATTTTATAAGCATTTACGATTCTATTTATAAAACAATTTTACTATATTTTATACAGATAAAAAAATCTTAAAATATATTAAATTTTCATTAAAATATAATAATTTTTTAACTTTACTCATATTTAATATATACACCTTTTAAAAAGGATAACTACTTATATTATAATGAATGAAGGACAAAATAGTACATTCATGCTGAAAATTTAATGAAATGACTTATAAATAGGACAAAAAAACCTTATATCTCTACCCTATAAATAAGATTAGAGGAGTATGCTTTTTCTTAAGTTTTAATTTAATATCCATGTCATGGTTAAAAAGAATTAATATCTATGTATTTTTCTTTTATAATTATTTTTTTTTAATTTTGCTATGTTAGCATGTTAGCTCTTGTCTGTTAGTACAATTAACTCCTATACAGGTTTAACGGTGCTAACAGAGCAAGATTAAAATTTAATTAATAAAAAAATCATATAGGTATTAAATTAAAATTGAGAAAAATATATATAATTTCAAAAGAAACTTTCCAAGTTTGAGAAAACAAAATTATTAGTATTTTAATTTCAAAAATATTTAAATTTACATTATTTAATTCCAAATGTGTTTTTAAAATTTAAAACTTTTGTGAACTATGGCTTTTATATTAGCAAAATAAAGATTGTTTATTACATGTATATTGTATGAAAAATATTTATTTCATCTACATGCACGCAGCAAAAAAAATTATTTCAATTTTTATTCCATTTAAAATTTAATTCCTGAGTCAGTAAGTTTGAGTAAGTTTTTTTTTAATTATTGGCAGAATTTATTGTCCATATGATATTCTACCCCCTAAAATAAAAAAATTAATAAAGTACAAATTAAGCGGCTAAGTAAAGGGCTCAATATTTGACCCATTATTAAGCACATCTCAACCCAAAAGAGACCCTTCAGTCCAAAAACAAAAAAACAAAAGAGACCCTAAACAGATCAAATGATAGTTGCCCTGCTAAGTCGTAAAGCCCAAAATTGAAAATGGTCTTGCTCTCGCATGCCCCTTTAGACAAGGCAACGGCTTCTTCTTCATCTCTCCGCGGAACGGAAGGACAGTTTCAGGGGATAAAGAACGGTCACAAGGAGGCAGATTCGAGGCCAGAAAACTGGGGAGGACGATTTGATTCAAGGGATTTGAGAGGGAAGAAAAACCCGTCTAAAAGAGGTAAGAAAGGCCAGGGCAGAGATTAAGAATTGAGAGAAAACAGAAAAGCAGAGGCGGAAATCGAGCAAGGCGCAATCTTTGAGAGAGAGGAACCGGCAGCTAGGCAAGTGACAGGTAATGTTCCCTGTCTGGGTTCTCGATTGCTTTCGACTGAAAATGGAAATAAGCACTTAGAATTTTCTTCCAGCTGGTTCTCCTAGAATCAGCATTGTCCCCTTAATCACACAAACCTTTCTGGGTAGAGTGCTGATCAACTTGTAGGGATCTTCTAGCTAATGGTCGCGTTCTAAAGCTGTTTGGTTAAGCATGTCAAAGTATTTGACTCTAGGTCAGTCCAATCTATTAGGTGCGTCATAACCGCTCAATTAATCAATTCAGCTGGTGATTTTAAGTGACGTGGTGCGCATTGGCATGCGTTGGGACGGTTGGCATTCTGCCATTCTCTGATGCTGAAGTTGTAAAGTTGGCTTTACTTGACTTGAAAGACTTTTGTTATCGGTACTTGTAAGCGTGCTTTCCCTATTATGCCCGTGTAAGAAGAATGTTTAAGCATTTTCTTTTGAAGTGACGAGTTACGGCATGCTTTGAGTGTTACCTTTGACTTTATCATGGCATTTCTGGTTACGTAATATCTATCTATATCTTGTTTTACTGGGAAATCTCGTTCTTTAGATGGTGAATTTACTGCATGCTTTTTAAGTCTGCTTTGTTAACAGTCTCACACATGGCTCTTTCAATAATTAATTATTTTGTATGCATTACTGATAAATTGTCATATTTCTTCTCTGTAGTTATCTTGTTCGTGGTTTATGTCTGATGTAAATCAACCCAAGGTTTTGTATCTTCCCGCTGATGTTCTATGCTTTCTCTTCTCAAACTGATTCCAACCTACAATGCTAAGCCACTATCCAAATTTTTGCCATTGGATCGATTGGTTTATAAATCCTTTTCAGTAACTACAGATTCTCTGCAGTTCATGTTGGATGGCTTCGAGAACAAGAACAGAGTTTCTGATTTTGATTTTCTATTTCGTTCCTGCACAAAGGTCGATGACGCTAAGCAGCTTCATGCTTTTCTTGTGACATTGGGAAAATTTCAAAATGTTTTTCTGTCTGCCAAGCTGGTCAATTTATATGCTTACCTTGGGGATGTCTCGTTCTCTCGGTATAGTTTTAACCAAATTCAAAATAAGGATGTCCATACTTGGAATTCAATGGTAGCTGTGTATGTTCGCAGTGGCCAATATTATGAAGCCTTAAAATGTTTCTGTGAATTCTTGTCCAACTCTGGTCTTCGACCTGATTTTTACACCTTCCCTCCTGTGTTGAAAGCATGTAAATATCTGGTTGATGGGAAGAAAATACATTGCTGGGTTTTCAAAACAGGATTTGAGGAGGATGTATTTGTGGCTGCTTCCTTGATCCATTTGTATGCACGGTTTGGTGCCTTAGATTCTGCCTACAACTTATTTATTGACATGCCAGTTCGAGATTTGGGATCTTGGAATGCAATGATTTCTGGGTTTTGCCTGAATGGGAATGCAGCTGGGGCATTGGAGGTCTTGAATAACATGAAGGCTGAGGGGGTAAACATGGATCCAATTACTGTGTCAAGTCTACTCCCTGTTTGTGCACAATCAGATGATATCATTAATGGGATTTTGATTCATTCATATGTTATAAAGCATGGGCTGGAAACTCACCTGTTCGTTTCCAATGCTTTAATCAACATGTATTCCAAGTTTGGTTACTTGAGGGACGCACAAAGAGTTTTTGATCACATGAAAGTGAGGGACCTGGTAACTTGGAACTCCATAATTGCTGCATATGAGCAGAATAATGATCCAATCGTGGCATTTGAATTTTATAAAGATATGCAGCTGATAGGAATTCAACCTGACTTGCTTACAGTTGTGAGTTTAGCCTCTATGTTTGGTCAGTTGAGTGATGTAAAGCATGGCAGGTCTGTTCATGGATTTGTTATGAGACATGATTGGCTTGATCAGGATGTTGTGATTGGAAATGCACTGGTGAACATGTATGCAAAATTAGGTGCTATAGATCGTTCACGAAGAGTTTTTGAACTACTTCCTATCAAAGATGTAGTTTCATGGAACACTTTAATCGCAGGTTATGCTCAAAATGGTCTTGCAAGTGAGGGAATTGATGCTTATAACATGATGGAAGAGTATGGAAAGATAATCCCAAATCAAGGGACTTGGGTGAGCATTCTACCTGCATATTCTCACGTGGGAGCTTTGCAACAAGGAATGAAGGTCCATGGGAGGCTAATAAAAAACTGCTTGTACCTGGATGTCTTTGTGGGTACCTGCTTGATTGACATGTATGGAAAATGTGGGAGTTTAGATAATGCAATTTCTTTATTCTATGAAGTCCCACAGGAAACATCAATTCCTTGGAATGCCATAATCTCCTGTCATGGAATTCATGGGCATGGAGAAATTGCTCTCAAACTGTTCAAAGATATGCTTGCTCAAGGAGTAAAGCCAGATCATGTAACCTTTTTATCTCTCTTGTCTGCCTGTAGCCATGCAGGTTTAGTTGATCAGGGTCAATGGTGCTTTGACATCATGCAGAAAGAGTATGGGATCATGCCAAGCTTGAAGCATTATGGCTGCATGGTGGATTTACTAGGTAGAGCAGGGTATCTTGAAAAGGCATATAGTTTAGTGAGCAATATGCCTTTGAAACCTGATGCATCCATTTGGGGTGCTCTTCTCGCTGCTTGTAGAGTACATGGGAATGTTGCGTTGGGCACCTTGGCTTCTAAGCACTTATTTGAGGTCGATCCAGAGAATGTTGGTTACTATGTTTTGTTGTCCAATATTTATGCCAATGTTGGAAAATGGGAAGGTGCAGTTAAAGTAAGATCATTGGCCAGAGACAGGGGATTGAGGAAGACTCCTGGGTGGAGTTCTGTCATAGTGGGCAGTAAAGTTGAAATATTTTATACTGGCAACCGAACTCATCCAAAATACATGGCAATATACAATGAACTAAGAGATTTGACTGCCAAAATGAAAAACCTTGGTTATGTTCCAGACTATAGCTTTGTCTTGCAGGATGTTGAAGATGATGAGAAGGAGCAGATTCTGACAAGTCATAGTGAGAGGCTGGCAATTGCATTTGGAATTATTAGCACCCCACCTAGAAGCCTAATTAGGATATTTAAGAACTTGCGCGTTTGTGGTGATTGTCATAATGCATTTAAGTACATCTCCAAACTTACTGAGAGGGAGATTGTTGTGAGGGATTCAAACCGTTTTCATCACTTTAAAGACGGAATTTGCTCATGTGGTGATTATTGGTGAAAAACGGTTGGTTGGTAATCATGGAATTTTGTCTAGTGATTGATATTCTCAATTACTCAAATTCATACAACTGCATACTAATTTGCCAATTGAGGACGTATGGGAGCAGTGACATTCATTTGTTTTGGAAGTCAGTTGATTCTAAAGGTCTCATTTTGTCCCTGCTTACCTTTTATTGTTCAGTTGGAGTTGATTAACTGGGCTAGAAGATTATGGTGTTGTAATTTTTTTTTTTTCACTGGGCTTCAAAGGGGTCGAGAATTGGACTAGCAGTTCTGCTTAATTGTCTCAGAAGATGTTGGGTTGGATGTTATTATTAGTCTTAATAAATGCTTGGTGCAAGATGGCATTAACTAGTTTGCCAAGAGTTATGATAAGGTTTTCCTTAAGAACTAGTATGTTGTTCTGGCTAAGGACTGCAAAATCCATATTTATATTTGGAGAAGGAAAAGGAGGAAGTTGAAATAGTTATCAATATTGTTACTGATACAGTTTACTATCAGGAATTTTCATCTGATCCTAAGTTTGGTTAGTCTAGGTATACAAATGCGCATGAAGACACGTGCATGCTCATATATTGTCAAGCTAATTTATATACTGCATACAATTCTGTTTCAACTAGAGGTTTTCTTGATTATTAGTAATGAGATGTGTCAAGGGAAGCTAGTCTGATACATAAAGCTGTCTTCCCTGATATAATGCTGGCTTTTGGACTAACCCTCTTGTATTTGCTGGCTATGTTTTATGCAGGCGCTGCATTATTTGCTAATGTTAACTATCAGATTCGATTCACCTTTTTTAGTTGATGACCTTACAAATGCCCGCAACAATATTTCACTCATCTCAGCCAGTATGGCAGTATCAAAGATCTCATAGTCTCTGACCGAAAAGGAGGAAAATTTTAGTGGACATGCATAGAGTGCAACGGCAAAAGCCATGCTTGATTCGCTGTAGGTTACATTGGTATTGGTCTCTCTCCACAGTGGGTTAAGTTTACTAATTAACAAGATGTCTTGATAGTTGGTACCTACCACAAGCCAGGGCAGGTTGTCCATAATTCATATGTATCTCAATTGTATTTAACAATGTCATGGCCAAAATGTAGAGGCATGTTCCTGCAAGTATTACGAGTTTTGCTCTCTGTTTATTAACAGAGCAAAATATTATTTTGTAGACTCCCAGAGTTTCCTATGCATCATAGCATGGTTATAACCGACTGTTTTTCTTTCCGCTTAATTACCAGAACAATAGAAAAATTAGAATTTTGAATCTGGCACCTTGCAGTTTTGCAGATATAATGGGTTGTCTGGTAAAATCTTAGAGGCTGTTTGGATGTCATCTTATCCAAACTATGGTTTTGCCTTCTAAACCATGGTTTTGGATGTCATCCAAATAGGCTCTAATACGGACCAACATAAGAGCAACCCAGTTATCTTGCCTAGTTTGATGGATTAACTTGTCAGCCTTTTCTTTTTTTTTCTTCTCCTTTTTCTTTTTTAAAGAAGCCATTTTGATGCAAAAGATTTTTCCTTTTTTTTTTTCACACTATTAATAATTATTAGTTTAGTGATTAAATAATTGTACGTAGGAATATTTTATTATAATATATCTATTTTAATATTTTGTTAAAATGGATATTTGGTAATTTTGGTAAGATGATACTATGATATTAATTTGTCAAAAGAATTGTGAAAAAAGGTTAAAAACTTGTAAGTATGTGATTCTTTTGTTAATAATTTAAGGTACTGAATTAAATTTAGTCCTTAGATGGTAGAATAAAAATTTAAATTATTTTTTTAGTTCTTACTTATTTGACTTCCGAGTTGACCTCCTAGTTCAATTCCGACTTGACCTATTAACTCTTAGTCTATTATCTCGACTGATTCAAGTTTGATTTTTAGTACCTTTTAAAATACTATCACTTTACATGATTTAATCATCCAAAAAAGTCTCTTTTTTAAAAAAAATAGAAAAGTTATGTCATCGTACATTCCAATATTGCTAATATTACAACCACATTCATGAGCTCACGTTGCTGATTAAACTCATCAATATTCTTTCTTTTTGTATTTTTATTTTTAAAAGAGATCGGCACCAACACTTTCGATGAAAATCAATTCAAAGGACTATAAAGTGTCTAATAACAAGAGTTCACATACAAGGAAGACTGAATGGGAAGGCAGGGAGAGAACCTGATTAAAAGAGGGTGTTTGGATATTTCTTCAAACCATGGTTTTGAAGAGAAAACCATGGCTTTGAGAGAAAATTATCCAAACACCACATTTTTTCTCAAAATCACTTTTTAAATTTGAAATCATGGTTTAAATAAGAGTAACCAAATACCTTAATTTTTTTCAAAATCACTTTTGATTTGAAAATTATGGTTTTGGCTATTAAACCATGGTTTTTCATGAAGTGAATTTTTTTTTTTTTTTGCTTTTGAAGGTATAAAATCATGGTTTGGGATATAAAAATATATACACATATCAATTACTATCTTCGATTCTTAATATAAGAGCTAAATAACTAATTTTTTAATATTAAGAAAATTGGTTAAATTATTTATTTATAATAAATAGGTGTTGCATTCTCTCAAATACTTGTTAATGATATACATTGGGACTACTATTTGATAGAACTTTTAACATGTACAAATTAACATGAAGACTACTTTAAAAAAAATAGATAAATGTGTGAGACAAAATAAATTAGTGTCTTATATTTAAAATCAAATTGAACATCCAATTAGCTCTCATATTAGGAATTAGAGGTAATATTACCTAATTATATTTTTTCATATATCATTTATTATTTTAAACAAAAGTATAAATTAAAATATATTTTAATCTAATTATCGTATTAATTTATGTCATTTTTAGTAATTTGTATATGAAAAAAAAAAGAGATTTTAATAACAACCATCCAAACATTCACACTTTATTAAAAAGAAAAATTGGTAAAAAAATCCTTGTTTGAAATTTTAATTGGTCAAAGAATCTGATTTGTGCAAGTGTAAGTGTAAGTATGATTCTTGAATACAACATATCTGTAATATATCATCCATAAGATTTTTTTTACTCATTTTCCCTCCTTACAATCACTTTCTTCAAAATCTATTACCAAAATCTATTAATTCTAACACCTCCTGAAACTTGAAAGTTGCATGTTGACATTGAAACATGAAAGTTGCATGCGAGGCCATGTCTAGGCTTAGCAATTCGCATTGTTCGCCTATGCTTCCCGCAACCGCGACCACCGTGATCCTTTTTTCTCATTTAAATTTTCACTTGTTGCCTTGTCGGTGTACCAATTTCAACCCTCAAATGATCTTGAATTATCACGGAAAAAGGAACCCAGGGAAATCATCTAGTGCAATTTTGTTAAGAAACAAAATTAATACCCCTGCAAATCAAGTAAAAATGTGCCAATTCAGTATGCGACGCTTCAACATCATTACCATTTTGAGGATTGTCTTACTGATGGTTCTTTTTGTTTCTTTCTTTTTTTTCTCCGGTGTACTTGTGGTTAAAAGTATAGGGGATTAACCAGGAAATAAATTGTGTAATTGCAAATGCAAACTATGAAAACAATATATTAATATTTCCTTTTGATATTTTGCGGAGCAAAATTAAGGCGTTGGTCTCTCACGTTCGCCACCAATCCATGGTTCGTGCTCACGGCCGCCGTCGGTGAGCTGACACAGTTGAGAAGGCCGAAGTTGACTAAGCGGCATTGCTCGAGGCCGTTGGCACCGCGGAAGGGGATAATCTCTACTCTGTTCTCTATCTCCATCTTCTTTGAATATTAATCGTTTTGAAGTTCTGGATGGTGCCATGCTGTTTTGTTGGTAAGTAGTCATGGTTTTGTTTTTAAAAAAAAAGAAGATTCTATCCCTCCCCTGACTTTTGAGTTGTCATGTTTCCTATTATGTCGTGCCTCGTTACTTTGTCAACATGAGTGCCATTTGCTGTAATGAAGTTTTCTTTTCTTTTGTTTTTCCCCCCCCCCGAACAATTTTGAGGTTGACTGTTGCTTATTATTTGCATGCAGAATTTGAGCGGCATGGGGAGTGCTGGAAGCTTGTGGCACATATCAAAGAAGAAACATGTGGCTTTAATACTTCATTGTTACGAGAATTTCTTATCAGTTGTCCGTCCTAGTCTTCATATGTTAGTGCAGAGGATCCCGATATTCATGTTCAAATCAGAAATTGTCTATTACGAAAGTTCTTTTTGAACAAAATTATGCCAAGGCCAGTTGATTTTCAGATTTTATATCAAATTGTTGCTGAATTTTACTTCCATAAGCACTGCCATGAACGTCCGTGCATTGGCCAATCGTTATGCAGCCCAACTCAGTCTATGCTGCTCCCTCAGTCCCATCAACTGTACCTTGGCTCGAGCCATCCATGCTCACATGATAACTTCTGGGTTCAAGCCATGGGGTCACATCCTCAACCGCCTAATAGATATATATTGTAAATCATCCAAGATTGGCTATGCCCGCCAATTGTTCGATAGAATTCCCATGCCGGATATTGTTGCAAGAACCACATTCATTGCCACGTATTCTGCGAGGGGTAATATAAAGCTGGCTGAGGAAATTTTTAATAAAACCCCATTGGTTATGCGAGACACTGTTAGTTACAATGCCATGATTACAGCCTACTCTCATCATGATGATGGTCATGCTGCTATTGAGCTCTTTCGACAAATGAAGCAAGAAGGGTTCAGTCCTGACAATTTTACCTTCTCCAGTGTGCTCAGCGCATTGGCACTTGTAGCCGATGATGAAAAGCAGTGCCAACAGCTGCACTGTGAAGTAATTAGGTTGGGATTGGGGACAGTGACATCAGTACTAAATGCATTAATATGTGCTTATGTTCATTGTGCATCTGCACCACACGTATCTTCAACATTGTTGATGGCTGCTGCTAGAAAGTTGTTTGATGAAATGCCTCGGAGGGATGAAACGTCATGGACAATAATGATTACTGGGTATGTCAGGAATGATGATCTCAGTGCAGCTCGTGAATTACTTGATGGGATGACAGAGAACACAGAGGTTGCTTGGAATGCAATGATTTCTGGTTATGTGCATCATGGACATTATGAAGCAGCATTTGACATGTTCAGAAAAATGTATTCTAGGGGAATTTTAAAAGATGCATATACCTACACAAGTTTGATTAGTGCTTCTTCTAATGCTGGTTTGTTCAGATATGGGAAACAATTGCATGCTTATATTCTGAGAACAGAGGTGCAACCTTCAAATGACTTTCTATTGTCGGTGAATAATGCTTTAGTTACATTATACAGTACATTTGGTAAACTAATTGAGGCAAGACATATTTTTGATAAGATGCCCCTTAAAGATATTGTTTCATGGAATTCAATTCTGTCAGGTTATGTCAATGTTGGCTGCATTGAGGAAGCTAAATCCATTTTCAGAGACTTGCCTGAGAAAAATCTCTTAACATGGACTGTGATGATATCTGGCTTAGCACAAAATGGTTTTGGAGAAGAGGGATTGAAGTTATTCAACCAGATGAAACTGGAGGGGCTCGAACCATGTGATTATGCATATGCTGGAGCAGTTAAATCTTCTGCTGTTTTAGGATCATTAGAGAATGGACGGCAGCTTCATTCTCAGATTATCCAGTTGGGCCATCATTCAAGCCTCTCAGTTGGCAATGCATTAATTACTATGTATGCAAGATGTGGTGTTGTTGAATCTGCTTATTCCATGTTCCTTACAACGCCTTATGTGGATTCAGTGACCTGGAATGCCATGATTGCAGCCCTTGCACAACATGGACACGGTGTCCAAGCTATTCAACTTTATGAGGAGATGTTGAAGGAAGATATATTACCTGATAGAATAACTTTTCTCACAGTTCTTTCTGCTTGTAGCCATGCAGGCTTGGTTAAAGAAGGACGTTATTATTTTGACACAATGGGTGGTTATGGTATAACCCCAGGAGAAGATCATTATGCTCGTATGGTTGATTTGTTATGCCGTGCTGGTCTGTTCTATGAAGCAAAGAGTCTAATTGAATCAATGCCTTTTAAGCCAGGTGCGCCAATTTGGGAAGCTATTCTTGCTGGTTGTCGCATTCATGGGAACATAGATTTAGGCATTGAAGCTGCAGAACAACTTTTTGAGCTAATGCCTCAGCACGATGGAACCTATATACTCCTTTCCAATATGTATGCTACTTTAGGTCAATGGGAAGACGTAGCCAAAGTAAGAAAACTAATGAGAGAACGAGGGGTTAAGAAGGAACCAGGTTGTAGTTGGATTGAAGTTGAAAACAAAGTCCATGTCTTCTTAGTTGATGATACTGTACACCCTGAGGTTCAGGCAGTGTACAAATATCTAGAACAATTGGTATTTGAAATGAGAAAATTGGGGTACATCCCTGATACAAAGTTCGTATTACATGATATGGAATCTGAGCATAAGGAACTTGCTCTGTCTACCCACAGTGAAAAGCTTGCGGTTGTTTTTGGAATTATGAAGCTTCCTATAGGAGCTTCAATAAGAGTTTTTAAAAACCTGAGGATTTGTGGGGATTGCCATAATGCATTCAAGTTCATTTCTAAAGTGGTGGAGCGTGAGATAGTTGTTAGAGATGGGAAGAGGTTTCACCATTTTAGACATGGCGAATGTTCTTGTGGTGACTATTGGTAAGCAGAGGTTTGGTTACTTGATTATCTATCAAGGGAGGTCTATATCAAAAGTTGTAAATGGGTTTGAAGCATATGAAGTGGGGTATTAGCAATCTGGGATCCAAAATTGAGACTGGCAGTGGCTTCAAAATGTTCTACTAAAGATTAAAAATCAATCGCAATAGGTATATTTATTTTATTCCTTCCTTTTCTTTTGGCATTCGTTTTACTAACTCTTGCTTAGGTTGAACCAATACACTGTATCATGAGGTCTCTGCTTGATTTTTTTATTGCTTTTTTTAATTATTATTTCACTAGTCTTCCATATGATGTTTTTCCTTTCATTTACATTCTTCTGACTTCTGTTTTCCTAATTTTGTTTCTTTACTTTCCTCTCACTATTTAGTGAAATATCCTGATTTTAGTTCTTCTGATATTTCTTTTTTAATTTTGCTTCTCTTCTCTCTCTTCTTGCTTTATGTGCTTCAAATAGGGGTCATAAGTATCGGATATACCTTCCGTAACAGATGAAATGTGGTTGCTGTTTGAGGGGCCTCATGGTAAGCAGGCTCCTGATCAAGATTACTTTCATCGTATTAAGCACAGCGCCAAAGCAACTATGATTGTCCATACCTGTTGCTTTATTTTTATGGTATTAGTCACTTTAATGTTATCCATCTGGTTAGTACAGTGACTGGTGCTAAATAGCTTTGATGGATAGGTTGGGGAAGTAGCGGATCATCCTGAACGTAGAGCTCTGCCCTGTCATGTGCTTTCCATTGCTTATTTTCGCATATAATGTTTTCAAGCACACAGAAAAAGTTTCCATGTTGGCAATCTGACATGCAATTAAAATTTATAAATTGACCTGGTTATATTTTTTCTTATTTCTGTTGGTTAATAGATTGGAAGATTCAATCTACGATCTACTTTCTTCTACCCTGGAAAGATCTTTATTGCCATGCTTAAGTTTCCCGTGCATCATAGCATGGTTATAACTGACTGTTTTTCTTTCCACTCAATCATCAAAATAATATTAAACTTAAATTACAATTTTGAATCTGGCAATTTGCGCATATAATAGGCTGTTTGGTAAAATCTTAACAACATCAGATTCGCCCTCTTGCCCGGGGCCCTTGCCATTCTGTCTCCCTTGTGTTAGACCCATTGTTATTAGACGTTTTAGGGTCAATTGATTTTCATTATGAGTTTAATTAGTAACATTAGCTAATGAATGTAGTCGCAATATTAGCAACATAGGAATGGAGGATGACATAAATTTTTTCTTTTTCTTTTATCCAAAAACACAGGTGGCCGTTTGGATGATTAAATGTAGAGCAGCTAGTATTTTGAAAGGAAAGATAACTAACTGAAAGCTAAATAGGAACTGAAATCGAAGCATGAAAGTTGCATATGAAAGAGAGCTGACTAAAAGGTAAATATTATCTGAAATTGAAGCATGAAACTTGCATCTATACTTTGGTCTAATCAGCAGACAGACCAATCTATCATTCTTTTTTCAATCCATAGATAAAGAAAACAAGGAACCTAGGCCAATTATTGTATCTCTGAAATTGGTTACTTGAAACTGAAGGTGTGTATGGTATCTCGTTTGCTTGATACTCATTGATTACTTTGATATTTGCCCTCCCTAATCCATCCGGTGCAGGCAGGGCCATACAATCTTAACCGCTTGTGAGCTCAGCAATCAAGAGCTCATTCCATGCGTCAGGAACTCCTGGAAGACACCAATGGCTGCAATCCATGCCAATGTGCCTTCCTGGTATACCATAAACAGAAGGATGTGCATCTTTTCTATGCTGTGACAATCGTGTTATGTTAAGCAGATGTACCCTCTTGGACATGCTGCCTATCACTCTCTCTAGTATCACTTGAGCTGGAAGCCTTTTTCTTGGATGTGGAGGACCAAACACTGGCCTTGTTTCTTCACCGCAACTGTCTCCGTCATAGTTCCCCCAAAATTTAGCACTGGCAATAATGAGATGTCTATGCTTGACTGTTTGTTCTTTCTTGTTAAATATAGTGAGTGAAGAATGGTGAATATTGTACCGATGAAGAATATGAACAAACAGGTAAATGGTTTCAAATTTTTATCTAAATTATTTACCTTAGATCATGAGTTGCTTCAAAATTTAGTAATGGTGAATATAGTACTAATGAGACGGCATTATCCTTTTTTTCTTGTTAAAAAGTACATTGCGTTACGGATGGTGAATTATATTGCAATCAAGGCTATAAGTAACTGGTAAATGATTTTGAGTTTTTTAATCTAAAATTATTGGACTTACTTCATATGGGTTGGTGAAATCCCTTGGAAGAATACTTTGGTTTTGGTAAAATCAATGTTCTCATTCACCCACTGAGCCCATGTTAACAAGGCTTTCTCGTAGGCAACCAAACGATCCATGTCCTTATATAAACGATCCCCATCTGTAACGAAATCCCACCTGTATGCCATTCAAAACCATTACGAACAAATCACCCCGTGAAACAAATGATAAAAGTAAAAAAAAGCTTAATGTTCCTTTTTTAAGGTCATATAGGTGTGATTACACTCTCCTTAGTTATATGTTCATTTATGAACCATTGTTCATAATTTTCTACACATGATATCTCTCAGCAAGGTCAAACTTCATCACAATTAGATCTACTTTTATATTCTAACCTTTTAAAAGTCTGAAAGCTTGAGAGTCCGGGTAAATGAAATATTAGAGAGCTCAGTCTCCTTTGTTCCTAATGGACTGTATGTTTAGACTAGTTGATATTGTTGTTTTTGAATGAGAACATTCAGCTCCATCTATCCAATAACAGTGCCCGCTAAACAGATTCATCTATATGGGTAAATAGTCTTGTGTTCTTACGGTTGTTTCCTGCCACGGTGAAGCCACCAATGCCATGAGTTGAACACCAAGACATGGCTCCCTTGCCACAGTTCAGCATCGTTGTCAGCAATGGCGTTCAATTTTAGAACCCTCCCCCATGACTTGTGAGCAATGTCTACCAGCAATGCGTTTCTGGAAAGTATCAACGACACGTTTTGTTTCTACACAAAAAGCACATGATTGTTTGTTATCCAGCATGAAATATGAAAGAACCCAACCTCAGTTGTAGGAGCTGACCATAATCCTATCTTCGCTTGTCTTGTTGAACATTTTTACAAGACACCCTCTTCAAAAACCTTATGGAGGCTCCCTAACAAGTTTTATCTAGTTCTTCATTGAGGCATTGGATGGTGGACATGTTTGCTTTTAATGACTTTGGCCTTACACCTGATCTTTTGTTTAGTTCTTCTCGTTTCTTTCTGGAACAAGGTTCGGGTAAAAAGGGTTGACTCTCTCTCTGTCTGATATGCGTATACACAACTTCAATTTTGTCATGCATATTTACGCGCACACAGCTTCAATTTTGTCCAGCATGTTTGCAAAAAATTCTTGTCTTGTGCACAGGAATCATGATTTCGTGGGAAATGTGAATCCATCGAAACTTGTGAAAGTTTGTTATGTCATCATAAATGATAAGTTGCACAACATATATTGAAGAGCATCTGAAATTCTATCATATAGTTAGTTCAATGAAAGATGGAAGAAGAATAAAAGCTGACCAGAAAGGTGAAGGTAGAGACCCCTTGGACTCGCTCTAACAAGTATTCAGAATGAGGAGATCGTGAATGAAGCATGCAGGTGAGTGACTGCCACTGGTTCAAGCTTATGGAGTCTCCCACAAATATTATTCTCTTATTCCTGTACTTCTCCAGGAACTTCCTTGCACTAAACCTGTGTCACATTATTTGCCACACACATTCATAATTATAGAATTCACTTTGGAACTTTAAAAGTTGAAAATCATCTTTCTATGCGATGTCAAAAATTCACAATTCATCAAGAGAAAAAGGGGGGGGGGTTGAAAGAAGAAGAGGATACCTTGGTAGGTCACATGAATTGGGTTTCCATCTATATTTGAGATAAAGATCATCAGGACGACCATTTTGCTGGCAATCAAATTCAAACTCTATGAAGGAACACTGGCTTGAATTGTAAAGTGGGTACGAAGAATCATAAAGCCATCTTCCATTGTATAGATCACACCCCTCAAGCTCTTCTTTTTTCCCATTCACAACCCCAATAAATGGCACTAGTATGACCACCAAAATTAGAGCAACAGAAACAGCCATTGCTAAAAGAAAAACAAGTATATATCTGAATCCTTGCTAAAGCGTATGCTTTGGAAGCTTAAATAGAGAATGGGTACACACATATGTAGTGTTTGCAATTGGTTTTGTTGTCTTGGATTTATTACGATGGAGATGAGATGGTTTGCTTTAGAGAAGGAATTTATTATGGTGAAAACTGAAATCATTTCGGCGACAGTCACGAGGCGTGGAGGAATTCTCACAATCGAAAGGTGCTCCTGTGCTCCAAAGAAAATTGCTGTTTTTTCCCTTTCCACATTGATGGTTGCGTTTCTTTTTCAATAAATATCGGCATTTATCAACATTTAATCGGAGCAATGAATTGTTCAATTTTGTTTTTATGAATTATTATTGTCTTGAATTTATGGTGTGTTATTTACTTAATTGTCTTGTGAAGGAAACGAGGGCATTCTGAATTCTGACTGAGGAAGGAAAGGAACTTATTTAATAATTTTTAGATGAATTATACTAATCTTTTATAGTGACCCAATAATTTAATTAATCGATCGGGTCTATTTGCCAATTCATTAAATATGTTTACAATCGGGTTTTAATTGCATGGCTCTATTTCCCTATTTACTACAATAATGCCTTGATCAATCAATCAATCACACATCTTGCAATTTAATACTCCCTCCGTTCCTTATTATCAGAGACATTTAGTGCTTATGGCATGTTCCTATATATAAGAGACACTTAAAAGTTGTCTCTACTTTTTTGTGTTGATTTCCTATTTTACCCATATTTATTGTTTCCAACTCACACTCTCTCTCCTTCCCACTTTTCTTTCTTTTAATAAATTACTATTGTTCTCTCTCATGTTCTCTCTCCTTCTTAATGAGGGCATTTTTGGAAAAAAAATTATACTTTTTACATATTAATTGTTCTTAACTAATTTTAACTGTTTTTTTTATTAACGTAATTCGGTTATTCGTCTCTTATAATAAGGAACGGAGGGAGTAGTCATTTGCATTTATTGGGGGTCCAAATTCTCCACATATTTGAGAAATGCATAGAGTAGCGTTGAAGTTTTTTCTCTTCTTTTTTTCCAAAGGTAACCAAAAACCTTAAGATACTGTTCTACAAAATATTAGAATGGTACTCTTCCGGTTTTAAATATAAAACCCTTATACACACTAGTATAAGGGTCTTATATTTAAGAACCGGAAGAGCATCTACAATTTACTGGTCAAATTATGCCTCGTCAAGTTTGACCCAAAAAAAAAAAATTATGCCTCCTCAAATTTCTATGACGGTTTAAATATACCTAGAGAATCAGATTCATATCATGAGTATAATGGGTTATCAATTAGTATAATCAATTTGCATCTTTAAAGACGTTCTCATTAACAACTTTTCAATCACACCCAAGCAAACTTCTTTGTTTGGAAAAAAAAGGACGAACATTACACGTTTATTTATGCTCATCTTTTTTTTGATAACAAAGGAATTCTCATCAAGGTTCTACATGATCATCTAAAGCAATATTAGTGCGATCCAGAGCCAGAATTGAAGCCAGTTCCCTGGGAACTTCAGAAACAATGTGGAAGCCTCTTACAGCTTCAAGTTCTCTTTTGGCCATAAAATCACCAGCTTTGTTGCTTTCCCTGTTCACGTAAGCCAGTCGCACGTTCCAATTCCTGCTTAGGAGGGTCCTAACTTCTTGGAGAACATTATAATCAGCATGGCAGACCTCAGGTTCCACATTCAGAAGCTCAATGGCGTTCGCAGCATCAGATTCAAGAATAACATTTCGATGGCCATCATCCCAAGCAATTTTTAAGCCATGCAGGCAAGCCCATCATTCAGCAGACAGAGCATCTTCTTCATCAAGTTTATAAATAAAACCCCGGAGAAAATTTTATGCTCATCTTGATCTAAATCATCCATGTTAATTTTGAATAGCTGATACTTAATTGAATTTTTTAAATAATACTTTTTTATTTTAATAGATACAAAATTTAAAACAAAAGTAATCTTATAATTGACACTTTTTTAAAAAAATTATGATTAAAAAATTGAAAATTAAAAATTTTAAATTAGGATTATCCAAAGCAAATTTTGGATGGTCCAAAGTT